TTTATTCCCCACTTTCTCTCCTATCAGGTTCAGTGTTTCTGTTTTATGTTGAGAGCTTTCATCCACTGAGACTTGAGTTTTGTGTACATGGATCTATTTGATTATTCTATATGGAGACATCTAGTTTAACCAGCGCTCTTTTTTGAAGATGCTTTCTTTTTTCCAGTATTTCTGACTTCTTTGTTAAAAATCAAGTGCTCATATGTGTACAGATTTATATCAGGGTCTTCATCTGATCCCATTGATCAATGTGACTGTTTTTATGCCAATAGCATGTGGCTTTTATTGCTTATAACTGTAGTGGAACTTGAAATAAGGAATGGTGAGACCTCCAACATTCTTTTATTATTCAAGATTGCTCTAGCTATCCCGAGTTACTTTTGTTCCATGTGAAGCTGAAAATTGTCCTTTCAGGGTCTGTAAAGAATTGTGTTGGAATATTTATGGGGTCTGCATTGGATCTGTAGATTGCTTTTGATAAAATGATCATTTTTAGTATGTTAACCCTGCCAATCCCTAAGTATGGGAGATATTTTCATCTGCTATCTTCTTCAATTTCTTTCTACAAAGACTTGAAGTTTTTGGCATACAAGTGTTTCCCTTGTTTGGTTAAAGTTATCCCAAAATATTTTTCTATTATTAGAGGCTACTGTGAAAAGCATTGTTTCTCTGATTTCTTTCTCAGTCCATTTGTTATTTGTCTATAGGAGGGCTACTAATTTTTTTCCAGTTAATCTTGTATCCAGCCACTTGGCTGAAGATGTTGTATTTATCAGCTGTAGAAGTTCCCTGGTAGAATTTTGGGGGTCAATTCTGTATACTATCATATCATCTGCAAATAACAATACTTTGACTTCTTTCTTTCAATTTGTATCCCCCTGATCTAAGTCAGTTTTCTTATTGCTCTAGCAAAAGCTTCAAGTATTATGTTGAATAGATGTGGAGAGACTGGACAACCTTGTCTTGTTCCTGATTTTAGTGGAATTGCCTTGAGTTCCTCTCCATTTAAATTAGTGTTAGCTATGGGTTTGTTGTAAACTGTCATTGTTAGATTGAGGTATGTCCCTTTTATCCCTATTCTCTCCAAGACATTTACCATGAAGGGGGCCTTTGAGCTAGGATTCTTCTTCTTCTGTACTAATTATTCTTAGGTTTGGTCTTTTCATAGACATTTTGTGTCAGAAGTCTTTTAGATTTACCATTTTTTTTGACTGATGCATCCATTTCTTCTATCTTATCTTCAACGCTTGACCTTCTTTCTTCCATCTCTTGTATTCTGTTGATGAAATTTGCCTCTGTAGTCCCTGCTTGAATTCCTAAATTTTGCACTTCTAGAATTCCCTCAGTTTTTGTTGTCTTTGTTGATTCTATTTCCAGTTTCATGTCTTGAACAACTCTATTAATTTCTTCCACTGTTTTTTTTTGTGTTTTCTTGAATTTCTTTAAGGGATTCAGTCTTTCCTCTTTAAAGACGACCTTGAGGACCTCTACCATCTTCATATAGTCGATTTTAAGGTCTTTTATTTGTGCTTCAAATATGTTGTAATATTCTGAGCTTGCTGTGGTAGGATAGCTAGGCTGTAGTAGAGACATATTGCCCTGGATAATCTGTATTGTGTTTTTATACTGCCATCTGGATTTAGGAGGATAACCAATCTAGGTGCTGATTTCTGGTTTTGTTGGGTGGGTATTTTGTTTCTTGGTTTCTATTTCCTTTCTGTATTTTTGGAGAGTGTGATGACCGTGTGTTGTCTGATTTCCTGTCCTGCTGGTAAGGATCCTGGGATTATTTGGGGAAGGTTAAGGAAGAAGGTCTTTATGATCTGTTGGGGATGGGGTCAAAGAGGAAAGGGAAATCAGTACAGAGCTGGCGATGAGACTAGGGGACTGGATCTCAGGAACAGTAGGAGGGGTGTGGGTCTGCCTTTAGCTTACTTGTTGCCTGTGAAAAGTGGCTCATGGGTTAGCAGTGGGTGACTGCTGGGTTTGGGGTTTGGGTTTGTAGTGAGATCTGTGGGATCCATAGGAGATGGGAACAGGGGGCCAGGGAAGGCTGCCACTGGGGTTCTGTTGCGGAGACGGGATGAGACTGCTGGCTTCTGATAGTCAATGCTGAGGATTAAAACAGGGGCCTTGTGGATGCTAGTCACGTGCTCTATTGATAAGATTCATCTCCAGCTCTCTCTTCTCCACTTATATGTCTACGGAGATTGATATTCCTAATCTGTCCACTCACATCTTTAAATAAATATTTTTAAATGACTGAATGAGTGGGTAGATGGGGTAGGAACACACATTGGAGGTGGCAATGGACTTGTATTCCTTCCTCTGACCTAGAACCAAAGAACCACCCTCATTGCACGAATCTAGAAAGCAAAGTCTTATGGGATATCATTGTATTTTTTTAAGTTTCTATTACTGGAAGGTAATAGGAAAGATCAATATTAGGGGTACAATTCACAGACTCACCACCTTTCAGAATGTACGAGTGACAATAACTATCCACTTATGATCTCCCCATTATCGGTCAGTCTTTCTTTATCCTGGACACCAATACACATTGTCTCTTCTTACATTCTGAGACTGAAACTTTTGCTGGACCCCATTAGCCAAGTTAGCACACCTTGAAAGTATTTAAGACCTGACTTATGTCCTATTCTATAATCAGCCTCTTTGTTTAACTTGTCTTCCAGAGGACAATGAAAGAATTAACTTTACTTGTGTTGGATTTGTCATGTGATCACTAGTACAAGGTAAATTAATGCATACCTTTAATATAAGTTATGTATTCTTCCATGCCCCTGACCCAGATAGCAATGTACCTGTGTGTATGATAATCGTTTGCTGAAAACATTAAAGAGATCAAAAGTGACCTTATAAAACAAATAAATGTTGAAAGCAACACAGGTATGGGTTATGAGAGTTTGTGTGGGATCAGCAAAGTTCAGTTCCTTGTAAAACTGTTGAAGATTTCTGTAAAGTATCCCCCCAGTCCCTTCCCCCGTGTGATGCTTTCTGTGCTGCTCACTAAAAGAGAGAGCAAAGAGCTTTGTTAGGGACAAATTCACAAGACAGCACTGAGGTGGACACAGATTCAGACTCATAATGACAGATTGCAGACAAGCCAGTAAACATGAGCCATAGATACTTGGAAGACACTGAGAGAGAAGCCAGGAGTTCAAACTGAGGCTCACACTTGGTCAAATTACCCCAAGGGGGAAGTGCTTTGGTTTCTTTTCTTAAACTGACTTTGACAAATGTTGGTGCCTCTGCTTTCATGTGTTTAACTGATGCCTCTCTTAAAACATCTTTCCCTGCAGCTTCTGTGGAGATCATTACTGGCTCCCTGCTGACTTCCTCATCCACAATAAACTTTGCTTCTTGCCTTTTAAGATTCTCTTTAAACAAGGGACTTTCTCTTTGTATCTTCTTTTTTATTAGGAGCAGGCTGATGTCTCCACCCCATGCCAAGCCCATACTCTTCCTGATCCCGATGTCCCTTTAATTATCTTTCTCCTTTGCATGCAGTTTATTATCAGGAAATCACACTGGCAGCTATCCTGGTCTTTAATTAAATGTTGCTACCTCAACTGGACTTTGATCATACATTCATTCAAATATTCATGAGCACCTTGTTTGCATAGGACCTAGATATGAACTAGATGCCAGGTCTTGGCATGAATACACAAAGGTGAAAGCCATGCGCCCCCCCCACACACACACACACAAAGAGCAGGATACAGGTGATTAGCAATTTGATACAGGTTGCTTTGGAAGTAGAAGGAGACCTATAACCCACAGTGGGACGGCCTGGGAACATTTCTTGTGGAAGAAACCGCATTGAACAAAATGAGGAAGGCGGAAGGAACTTGAGAATATGACGTTAGTAACCTTTTTATCACCATGACAACAATTTCTGAAGCTGTTAACTTAAAAAGAGGAAAGACTTACTTTAGTTCATAGTTCCAGAGGTTCCGGTGGTCATTCAGCCCACGGGTTTAGGGCTAGCATAGCAATTATGCTGAACGCACACGATGGGATGGATGCCTCTTCATCTGTGGTCAATCAGAGACAGACAGCAAGGTGCTGGGATCACAGCATTTTCCTTGAAACCTTCCAACTTCTTTCTACTAGGTCCCACGTCCTACGTGTTCCATCTCCTCCTAATAGCACCACGAGCTGCTGACGACATCTTTAAAATATGAGCCTTGGCAGTAGTGAGGTGGGGTGCCGGATGGGGACAATCATGGCCCATATCTGTATATGTCTACATAAAACAGTCTTCAAAACAGTTTTTGCAATCACTGTACTTTTTGCCCCTACTAGATAATGAAGGATGGCAGATATGCTACACTAAAGTATGCCATTTGAGCATCAATATTTTGCGCCTAGAGGCACTTGAATAGGAAAAAAATGCAAGAAGAGCCATCTTTGGGTCTCCCAAACCCCAAAGCAGGACATCAAACCACCATGTAAACTACCGCTATCCCCAAATACTTTTACCCGAGGTGAGAAGTTAAGGAAGCTAGAGATTTGCACAAATGAATCTAATTTAGCTAATCTTTACTTTCTTTTTGTTTTCCTTAATGCTTAAGTTACTTTTTCATAACTATTTACTCTGTTCAATATAAGCACTTGGACCTAATCACTTTCAGGATCCTCATTGTTTCTGTAAGGGCTCCCATGTATATACAAACTTGTTAAATAAAATTTACATGCCTCTATTAATCTGCCTTATACCAACTTCTCAGGCTTCCCACGCGAGCATGAGCAAGCCGTCACAACCCTGAGACGCAGAAACCACGCCCCCGACGCCCGCCTAGTCCTACATGAACAGAAGCCCCGCCCCAGGGGCCGGCCGCCGCCCTGCCTTAAGGCGCACTAGCGCGTCTCCGCCCAGTTGCCGACAGCCCCGCCCCCAGGGGGGCGCGCTCCCTAGGGCCCGCCCCTAGGCCCGGCACCGGTCCGGCTTTCCAGGCGCGCGTCCGGCGACCCCGGAGGTCCCGCCTCCAGGCGCGCGCCCTCCCACGCGCCACGTGCTCTCTCTGGAGGGCGGCGCCGTGGGCCGAGCCGAGAAGATGTACTTGCTGCCTCTTCCGGCTGCCGCGCGAGTCGCGCTCCGCCGCCTGGGAGTAAGAGGTCTCTGGGATCGGGGTCTGTCCACTGCAGACATGACGAAGGTGAGTGGAGGCGGCTCGCTCTCCGGCAGCCGCGCGAGTCCTGGCTGCGGGTGGCAGGGTGACCGGGCGAACCCAGGCCGCGATGTATATAGGACGGACGCATCAAGTTGCAAAAATGAACTGAACAGAAAAGTTCCCTGGGTTTGCAGGACACCAGCCTGGGCCTGGCCTGCGACGAGGGCGGCTGGCGCTGTTTGCTGAGGGCGCGTCCTTTTTTCCTAACTGGACAGTGCTGGGTTCTGAAGGCTGAGCAGAACCGCTCACTCTGCTTAACCAGTCTTTACTGACTCCACCTTCTAACTGAGCTCCTAAAAGTTACACGCGCCTACTTTGTCAGTTCTTTTAGTCCTCTCAGAAACCCCCGAGAAAGGACAGCGGCTGGATTGTCCCAAAGCCTGCTAAGGTTACAGAGTAGCCAGTCACAGGGCCTGGACCCCTCCCCCCGCTGAAGTGAAGTGAAAGGCCCTGGGGAGTAAACTGCTGGATTGGGTTTCTGGAGGACAGCAGTGTCCTTCTAGGGAAAAGGGTTTTATTGGGAGAGGTCATCTTGAAATTGGAAGAATGTCTTCTCTACGGTCTGTGAGAAATTATGAAGGACACTCAGATGTGAAGGGTCTGGAAGGGTGTTGGCTCACTGGAGTAGGTCATGCTTCCAGGATCTGGTGAGGGAGGAATGTTCCAGAAGAAGCTTGAACTCAGATCCCCTGCAGTTATCACAGATAACAGAGGAGTTAGGCAGACACCTTTCCAGCCCTACCCAGTAACAGTGGACAGACAGACAGTCTCAGCTGGGTCTCATGGAACCCCAGAATGACCAATCTTGGGAAAGTTAGAACCTAGCAGTTACCATGCCAAGGAAGCCTGTTTTCTTCAGTGGAAAGATGGGGGACCAGGTGTCGGGAGTACCCGGGGTGTTTTTGGAAAGGACCAAGACCAGAAGGAAGGCATGTGCACTGTCAAAGTTTAACTACGCAGGAGCTAGTGAGTCGGGGACTAGGTTTCCTTATCTAGCAAATGAGAGGAGTGCCCGATGAAGTGACCGAAGGGAAGCAGTATTTTAAGTCGTGAATTGCCTTGTGAAGTCAAATATTGAGCAGTGGTTTTACATCCTCATTTCAGGCATTTGGGGCCTGAAGCTTGTGACGGAGATGTAGAGCCACACCATTAAGTGCTTGGCAGAAGGCCCTGTGTCTGCCCTCTCTACGAAGTCACATACTTTCCCTGATTGACAGGATACTCACTAAACAATGTGGACATCCCCTAACCTGAAATTTGAAGTATTCCAAAAATCTCAGGTTTTCGGAGCATTCACTGGACACTTGTGACTGTCAGCAGAAAGTCCTGTAGCCAACCCTGTGAGTGGACAGAGTCAAAACACAAGTATTTTAAAGGACCAAACCCTGAGACAGTGTATCTGAAACAAGTGATCTTCAGTTTAGGGTTGGCCCAGGATATCTCATGTAACCCAGTTCCAGTGTTGCCCTGGCAGGGATTTCAGCTGCTCTTTACCTCCGTTCTTGGCCGCTCAGGGAAGACACAGTTTTAATGGGATTGTTTGCCCCTTGGGCAGCCAATGCCTTCTGAGGGACGTACTCTGATTGTATTTATCTTTCTTGATTTTTTTTCAGGGCCTTGTTTTAGGAATTTATTCCAAAGACAAAGATGATGACTTGCCACAGTTTACAAGTGCAGGAGAGAGTTTTAATAAGTTGGTGTCTGGAAAGCTGAGGGAAATGTTGAACATGTAAGTGTTGCTATATTTGGGGTTCCTTTTGTATGTGTGTTTGTTTTGCATTGTGAGACAGGGTCTCGCTATGTTGCTCTGGTTGTCCTGGAACTTTGTAGACCAGGCTGGCTGGCATCAAACTCATAGAGATCCACCTGCCTCATTCCCTGGCGTTCTGAGATTAAATGTATTTCCCATGAAACAGGGCAGGGTTGTAGTTCTTAAAGGCTCCAAGATTTAAAGAGATTATTCTCCTTGTATCAGATAAACTTAATAGAGCCCTGACCAGCAGGTTCTCTGGAAATGAAAGTAGGCTCTGGAAGAAGCTGGGCAGTTGTTTGAGTGTGGGTGGGTCTGCAGTTCTGGGAAGTCATATGGTTTCTAGCCAGATCACAAACCTATTGTGAAGGATTCACAGGGATCCAGAAAGGAATAGATTTCCTCAGCCCACTCCCTAGGCTCAGGTTCAGAATTCCTACTTTCCTGTCTGGCACCAACCTCTAAATGTGTTTTAACTGAATAATTTAAAAACAGCCTAAGGTCCTGTCCTGTTACTTCAAGGCTGGACTTTGAAGGCTTTTCAAATGTTAAAGTAGGAGTGGATTATCTGATTAGCAAGAATATAGCCTGAAATTCAGTCAGTCTGCAGAGGGCCTGAGATCTGACCTCTCCTAGATTAGCAAGGTCCTAGAGGAAGTAGGAAGACTTTAGAGCTGCTAGCCACATTTGGCAGAAAAATAGAGAGCACCATAAGTCCCTTTAACGACCTGTTACTCAGGTAACAAACTATGTTAGAGGGTACCAGGTGTCACCTGATAGCTATAGTAATTATCTGATAAATACATTGTAGGACTTGTACCTCCTAGTTCTAGTACCTTCTAGTTGCTAGTTCTTTTAGTACATAGCCTTCACAAGGACCCAAATCATTATCCTAGAAGCTAACCTGTTAAGAGTCCAGAATGCAGTGGCCTCCTTTCAGGGTCACTGTGGGCTACAGCCTCAGCCTCTGCTCCTGGTCTCTGGCTACTGTAGAATACCTCTTTTGTTTGGAAATTGCTATCTCTCATCTCAGTAAACAATCTGGGAAACGCCTATGCTGGAGACAGTGCTGTCAAGTCTGTGGCTTTGGTCACCACTATGTTTTGTTGTTGTTTTGTTGTTTGTTTTCATGGTGTTTCTTTTAGTAGAAAGGTTTCCACTATTTAGTATAGTCACCAATCATTGCTCAGAGGGATAATTTAACATGGTATTGCCTTCTTTTTTGAAAACAAAACAAACCAAAACAACCAACAACAACAACAAAACCGAAGACATGGCCACATTTGGTAGTATAGCCGGAATTCACTATATTGTCCAGGTTGGCCTCAAATTCACACCAACCAGTCCTTCTTCACAGCTTGCCAAGTCCAGGTATTACAAGCATGAGCCACCATACCAGGCTTCTCTGTTTTTAAATTGGTGTTCCTCTTCTGTCTAGCCTGGATGTTGGCTTGGTACTTTTTGAGATGAAAGTGCTGCATCTGAGAAGTCTAGCCTGTATCCATTCTGTAAAGCCATCAGTGAAGCACAGAATAGAAGCAGTTACCAAGATGGTCTGCTGAAGCTTAGGTCATTTACCAAGAGAACAGCACAAACTCTAATGTTTAAAACAACCCTCTCCTCTTCCTTTAGATCTGGACCTCCTCTCAAGGCAGGCAAAACCCGAACCTTCTATGGTCTGCATCAGGTATGTTTATCTGGAATTCATATTGAGACCTCCCATGTACTCTTTACTGTGGGTGCAGTTGTGCTAGCACTTTTGTGGCTCTGCTAAGCAAAAGCGCTCCTTATGATTATAAAGGACAATGGCTGTCTCTAGCTCGTGTTCTTCAATGTGGAGGGAGAGCACCACCTCATGCAGAGTTACCTGGAGGATAATCCTCACTCTGCCTCTCACATCTGTCTTACGTACCGACACACAGGGCTCCTTTTTGCTGAACCTAGAGTGACTCTCTGTCAGCTCTGTCTCCCTCTATCATTCCTTTTGGGGGAGCTGTTTAAAAAATTCACAGTAGTTGACTTGTTGTGTTTGTGGACCAGGACTTCCCCAGCGTGGTGGTTGTTGGCCTTGGCAAGAGATCTGCTGGAGTTGATGACCAGGAAAACTGGCATGAAGGCAAAGAAAACATCAGAGCTGCTGTTGCAGGTTTGCTTGTTCCTTATGTTTAATAGCTGAAGGTAGCCAAAGGTTCTCGAGGGTCCTTTCCCTTTGTCCACTCACTGCTACCAGCCTTACCCTGCTCCCAGGCCACAGCTCAACATGTTCAGTTTATATAGACGTGTCTGACCTTACCTAGATACAGAGGCTAGCTTGGGACAGTTTTGTTTTTAGTTGTAAGATTTAGTTAGTTTTGTTTTTGTTTTCTGTTGAGAGGTTTGCTGCCATTTCTTCTTAGAAATAACTTCTATCAGAAATTGTGGTGTGTATATGGTTTTCCATTTTGTAATGCAACCACGGTGTTTCCTGACTTTTAGATAACGCAGAATCATTATGTTTACAAATTAGTGTGGGATACTTATTCATTGCTAGCAAAATACCAGGGCCTGTCCCAGTTGGCTTGATAGGTGGGTTGGGGAAATTGAGGTCGATGTCATTGAGCCACTCTGTTGCTTAGCAGCAGGGAGAGCCTTTCCCACAGGACAGGTGCCCCAAATGCACTTGGAGAAACACTCTGAGGCAGCAGTAATTTGCTTGACTAATCCTGGCCTGGGTATATCATAAATGCTTATTAAGTTTACTTTCAGAGTTAAATAGCTATGCCTGACTTTTATTTGGGAGTTCTTACTGACTCAATTTTAATAAATACTGTTAATGATAGTTTTTGCTCAGTTGCTTGGATGTAACCTCAACATCATCATTTCTTGGTCCTTTTAATCTGGCAGCTCCTGGCGATTGGGAAGCCTTGTCAGGAAACGCTAGCACTTGTGAAATACTCTTAGTAATATCTGCCTCTCACTGATGGTCTCTCCCCTTGTGAGGATCTGTGCCTTTGACTTCTGTACTCAGCTTGGCTTGTGAGGCACATATCATCCACACTGTATAGAAGAGGAAATGAAAATTTAGAAGCAGACCTCAGTTGCCAGTTTGTCCCCTTGGCACACCACCTCATGCCTCTGCTATGTGCTGACTCAATTTTCTGCTTCTGTTGTCTGAAGCTGGATGCAGGCAGGTCCAAGACCTGGAGCTGCCATCAGTGGAGGTGGATCCCTGCGGAGATGCTCAGGCTGCTGCAGAAGGAGCTGTGCTCGGTCTCTATGAGTATGATGACCTAAAGCAGAAGAAGAAGGTGGCCGTGTCGGCCAAGCTCCATGGAAGGTGATGGAAGGAAACTGGGGTGTGTGGGTGGCGCTCGCAGGCAGGCATCCTCACAGCATGTTTGGGAAATGAGCTGCCTGCTTCTCAGTGTGTGTGTGGCTTGTATGTATCCTACGTCCTGCCTCGGCCCTCTTTACAGTGTGATAATTGTCTGCAAGCTCTGCTCCTGGCTCTTGTCATGTGTGTGACTCCTCTGTGGCTCCTGAGAGTCTTCTGTACTTGCTGGTTGCTAAAAAGCATTCACAATGTGGGCTTTTCCCAGAAGGAGGGATGACTTGACAGAATATCCTAATGAGCTTTAATCCGAATACTTCCCATTGAACTCATACCTGCTGACATGTTAAACATTAGACCTGTGTGGATGAGAGCATTCCCTCTTCGCCTTGGTGGTCCACGGTGGAAGATGCTTTCAGAAGACAGCTGGCCACCTATTACTCCAGCTCTATTCCAGTCTTGAAGGGACTGGTCTGTGCTGTCAGGGAGATCTTCAGCTCCTGGAGCTGTGATGCCAGTGGGTTGCTCTTGGCATAGAATGGTGGTTAATATCTGCTAAAGACTGGTTGGAAATGAAGGTTCTGTAGACAGTCAACCCACATTCGAATCCTGTCCCCATCACTTACTTGGGGAAACCTCAGTTAAGTGTCCCAAATCTGTATTTCTTTATTTTTTAGATTTATTTATTTTATTTATATGAGTACACTGTGGCTGTCATCAGAAACACCAGAAGAGGACATGGGATCCCATTAGAGATGGTTGTGAGCCACCATGTGGTTGCTGGGCATTGAACTCAGGACCTCTAAAAGAGCAGTCAGTGCTCTTAACCGCTGAGCCATCTCTCCAGCCTTCTTTCTTTTTATGTATAGTAGAGTTGTAATCCTGGTGTAGAGTTTTGAGTTTTAAGAGAGTCCCATTATAGCCTAAGATTAGTCTTGAACTCACAATCTTGCTGCCTTGGCCCCTGCAGTGTAGTAAGTACAGGCATGCACCATCATTCCTGGTTGATATCATAAAGTGTATGATAATCCCAGGTGGGTAGCATATGGCGAATGCCCTGCGACGCCAGCTATTAATTTGCCTGCCTCCATGTTGCCCATATTAGCTGTGGTCAAAGAGCTAGGATCATGCAACGTGCACCTTTGTGTGTTCTCTTCTAAAGCTAATCCTTGCTGTCCAGTGGGTTGGGACTTAGATCAGGGACAGTAAGGCGGCAGAGCTGACAACTCCCCCATGTGAATGTTTGCTGCTTGCTGGCTTCACAGTTAGTACTTGGGCTGATCATCTCTGCAGTGAACTGGACTTTGGGTAGGAATCCCAACACAACCTTTGCAGGTAGATTTACAGCTTCAAATACCTATCAGACCACACACACACTTGTTCTTTTGACACAGGGTTTCTTTGTGTAGCCCTGGATATCCTGTAACTTGCTCTATAAACCAGGCTGATCTCAAGCTCAGAGTGATCTATCTGCCTCTGCCTCCCAAGTGCTGGGATTAAAGGCATGCGCCACCACAGCCTGGCAAAGGGGGAGATTCTTGAAGTGGACTGCTTAGCCAGATTTATCTTACTTTCTCAGTAGGGTGGGCCTGTTTTCTTACTCACAGGATGAATCTAGGTCTTTGGCAATCATTTTTTGCTTGTAGTTTTGATTTTTTAAGATAAGTGCCTCACTTAGCAGCAGAAAGGTCAGTGTTCTTGAGGTTATTTGAGCGTAACTCTTTTTTTCCACAGCGGTGATCTCGAGGCCTGGGAGAAAGGGGTCCTCTTTGCTTCTGGGCAGAACTTGGCCCGCCAGCTGATGGAATCTCCAGCCAACGAGATGACGCCAACCAGATTTGCTGAAATTATTGAAAAAAATCTCAAAAGTGCCAGTAGTAAAACAGAGGTCCATATCAGGTAATTTATGATTATGTCATGGACTCATGGGATGTACAGCCAAAAGAACAGTGTGTGCTGTTTGGCTTTATATCAATATGATGCAAGCTAAAGTCACTTTGGAAGAAGGGATGTCAATTGAGAAAAATCCCCCCACCACATTAGCCTGTGGTCAAGCCTGTGGTATATTCATGATTTACTATTGATTATTGATGTAGCTCACTGTGGGCGGTGCCACCCTTGAACCTGTGGTCCTGGGTTCTATAAGAAAGCAGGTTGAGCAAGCCATGAGGAATAAGTAATAAACAGCATTCATCCATGGCCTCTGCATTAGCTTTACCTCTAGGCTCCTGTTTGCATTCCTGTCCTGACTTTCCTCAGTAATGACTGTTTCCTAAAAGTGTAAGCTGAAATAAACTTCCCTCCCCAAGTGGCTTTATGGCTATGGTGTTTCATCTCATCAGTAGAAACCCTGACCAACACAAGTCAAGATCCTAAAATGGAACTTTTGTGTTCAGAGGAGTAAATTGAACCCACAGTTGAGGTTTGTTTTCCTCACCTTTGAGAGAGCTTTATGATTTCATACTGTACTGTGTGATTTTTTTAAAAATTTATTTTAAGGATTAAAATGGAGACATAACTTTGATGTTCATTTCTCTTGAGTAAAAGTTTGGGAGTTGAATTTCTAGGTGAAAGGCTAGCTGGCTAACTTTTTTAAAAAATTATTTTTATATGTGTGAGTATTTAGCCTGCATGTATGTCTCTGTAGTGTGTGAATGCTTTGAACCCAAGAAGACCAGAAGAGGGTGTTGGATCCCCAGGAACTGGGGTTAAAGCAGTTCTAGGATACTATAAGGGAGCTAGGAATTATATTTAAGTCCTTTGGAAGAGCAGCCAGTACTCTTGAACTGAGTCATCCCTCCAGCCCCTGGTTAACATTTACAGAACTTACAGGCTTTTATGTGTTGTCTTGTCTATGTTTCTGCTTGTGATGTAGGTGAAGAGTGCAGTATACTGTGTAGACACAGGGTGAGAACCCACCTGCCTCATGACCTTAACTACACTGCATGGTTGCCTGTCAGGCCTCCCGAGTGCTTATCAATGGTACTCACCGTCAGTTCCTCTAGTTTCCATTTCCCTTTCAAGAACTGTCTTCAACCCATTATACACCCAATGAGCTTGGGGTTTCTGATTACAATAAATGAACAGACTCTTCTTCTACTTGACTTTCAAAGTTGTTTCTCAAGGGATCTTTTAGTGTAAGGGGATTCTTCAGCACTTAATTGTGATCAGAGTTCATGGTTTCTGTTCATTCTTTTAGGAAAGTCTCTATTTAGACAGTTTCGATGTGCTGAAGCTGTCTGTGTGTAGGCTCTATGGATGTGTCCTGTCTCAGAAGAGGAGATGCCAGTGCTCTGCTGTGTCAGCCTGTAGTGACAATGCTGCCAGGTCAGGGAATGCATGAGGTTTGCAGGCAGGCATGCACAGTGGTGGATCTTGCTGCAAAGGTCAGGACAGGCAGGACAGTGGGTCTGGGAGACTGCTGCAGAAGCAGGAGGAAGACTGAGTGAAGATGGATACCAGCAGAGTCTGAAAGGTCACTTTAAATGTTAACAGACCAGGAGTTTCTGCTAAGGTGTTCCACAGTCTCAGGAAACAAGGCCTTGGGTGAGCAGAGGGAAGAAGAGTTCAGAGACCAGCGTGATGTGCAGGTAGCCTGTGACTCATGCGCGACACAGATGTACCACACCCCATTCACGGTAGGTAGATCTGCTTCAAAGAAATACAGCTCTTCCAGAAGGGCAAGTCAGCAGTAAAATACCAAGTACAAAGCTTGGATTTAGAAATGTGTACACGTCATAAGCTTGTCTTTTTTATGTGATTTATGTATCTGGTTTCCCTTTGAAACAAGGGGACAATTTTAGTGTAATAGTCTGACTAAATGGGCAAGCAAGTACAGGAATAGTTCTTGGATCTGGTTAGTGCTGGTCGTCTAGTAGTGCAGGCTTTGTTATTGTGGCTAGAAATCAATACAGAACACTTGTTCCATACCCTAGAAAGAATAGCAGTATGGCGTCTGTGTTCTAGTTTGCACTAAGGTGGGGGTTCATGTTCCCTGCACTGAGTCTGTGTTTATTATGAGAACTAAATAGTTTTCCCATTCAGAGACATCTCAAATTGCACTTGCAGCTATGAGCAATGGTGTGCTGATGTTGAAAAGACAAGCAAAGAAACGGGGTATTTTATTCCTGTTGATGTAGGACAGCCTTGTTGTTTTTGTTAGTTTTGTGTGTGTGCCATTATTAGTAATACAAAAATGAAGCTGAACGCCTCGACTTTAAATTCTCCACTGTAAACTAAGAGACTTGCTAATTTCATTTTCAAAATAAAATCAGAAATACTCAGTATTGAACACTATTTATTACCTGGGTTTCTATTAGTTACCAAGTAGAAGTTCTCTGAGGAGTTGTCTGATCCTTGGTAGAGGAGTGCCTGATGTCAGTTTACTGTTGATGTATCCCCAGAGTGAAGTCTACTTGCGAGTAGACAGAAGCAAATAATAGGCTATGATCACTGGTGCCTTCAGCCTGTGCTGTAGCCTGATGATGGGCATGGAGCTCATGACCTTGCGCATACTAAGGACACACCCTACCACTGAGTGCACCAGGTCCTGTTTAGAATATGAATATCTTGTATATTGTACATTTTTTAGCATACTGTTGAAATTTTTCTAAGTTGTTGGAATAAATGTAACAGTTCTCTCCTTTTTTCCTCTTTCTGACCTATAGACCCAAGTCCTGGATAGAGGAACAAGAAATGGGTTCGTTCCTAAGTGTAGCCAAGGGGTCTGAAGAACCACCAGTCTTCTTGGAAATCCACTACACAGGCAGCCCCAATGCAACTGAAGCACCCCTGGTGTTTGTGGGAAAGGGCATTACCTTTGACAGGTACTTCTTGGGGGTGTCTGTGCTCTCTATGTTGGTGAATGCCGTGTATGTTTAGTGTAATTCATAAGCACGGGGTTTACACATTATAGTAAATGTATTGTGCTGTCAGTTTTGAAGTTCCATGCTTATATATGCCTAAAACAATCAGAAACGTTATATGCCGTTGGTCCTGTGACCAACAGGTCAGGAACCTCAATTCAGAAGTTCTTTGTTCCAAGTCACACCAGCAAGTAGAGTCAGTGGGTTAGGAGATGGCTCAGTTGATAAAGTGCTTGTCATGCCCACATACATGCAAGAGTGCATTACACAAATACATATGCACGTCTCACATAGATACCTCCCCTCATTCAGTGCCTTTTCTCATTCAGTAGCCATCTGCTACCAGCAGATGTCAGAAGAACTGTTACCTCTTCTGTTTTGTGTGCTTGAGGGGAATGCTCCAGTGTTCCATGGGCTGGTCAGATTTCATGGCCTTCAGGTTTCATGGGTTAGTTAATTCAAAGATAATTTATTTACTTATTGCTGATAAGATAGTCTTTGTGGGTATTGGTGTTAATGACAGAAAGCAGAGATGGATCATAGGTGGCTTGATGTTTCTAATGGCACCTGGTCAGATTCCATTCAAACAGAAATTAAAGGACCTGTCTCACTTATCCACATTTCTGGAATTATTTTCTGTCTGTATAAAGGCTATAGAATTGAAGTAATTCAGATTGCAAGTTTAGAAACTTGACTTTCTTTGGCAGGAATGGGGTGCTTTTATGTGGCAAACTCTGAGTTTGTATGGGATTTGGGTTTGTTTTGAGACAATCTTGCTGTGTCACCCATCTGGCCTTCAAATTGAAATCCTTCCTTAGCCTCCAGAATTCTGTGATTGCCGACATACACCACCACATATTTTACATTTTCATGTATTGATTATGTGTGATGTGTATGTATATGGAGACCCAAGTGCCACAGCATCACATGGAAGTCAGAGGAAACAGTTCTTTCCCTCCATCATGTGGGTCAGGAGACTCAAACATGGGCTATCACGCTTGGCAGCAGGGACCTTTGTCCTTACCCATCTCGATGGCCATATCTCTGTTTTTAAGAACGTGATTTAGGCTCTCAACGTTGCTGTTATTAATGTTGTATACCATCTTCCTTTTTCATACAGTGGCGGTATCTCCATCAAGGCTTCTGCAAATATGGACCTCATGCGGGCTGATATGGGAGGAGCTGCAACAATATGCTCGGCCATTGTGTCAGCAGCAAAGCTCAATTTGCCCATTAATATCATAGGTAAGGAGGGGAAGGGCTGCATCTCACAGTGCTTCCAAATCTAGCCGTGTGGGAGATCCAAAACATCAGACAGTTTCCTTCCTTCTGAGAAGACACTCTTATGGAGCTTCTCATCTCATTAAGCAGCTGCTGTTTGGCTGAAAGAGGCGTTTTCTGTCTGAGGGGACTGAGTTAAATGTGTCTTGCAGCTGGTAGGCTGTAACTTGTGCTGACTTGTCTTACTTAGGCAAAAGTGGTTAGCATCAGGAGCAAAAAATGTCACATTTGTACCTTCCTCCAGCAAGAAAACCTGAGTATGCTGAGTGGAGGGCTCGTCTCTGCTTCGTTTACTAACACCTCATAGGACTGTGCTCCATGTGATGCCTGATACAAATAAGCAGTTAGTACAAGGGCTAAACTTCCCTCATAGAGATATGCCAGCTTCATAGCCTTTTTGTTCTGTGAACAGTCTTTTTTTTTTTTTTTTTTTTTTTAATAAAAAAGCTGTGTTATTGGAAATCAATATGCTGACATTTCAACATGTTTTTACCTCTGAGTACTTTTAACATATCTCCTAAGAAAATTACATTCTATGTAATGATAATACAATTATGTTTCAAAAGACTCAATATAATAACCTAGTAAAAATTTACCAATTGTCTAAAAAAAGTCCATTTTGGATATACTTGGTATTTTATAAGACTGTTTTTTAAATTATGTATATCAGCATATGGTTTTGTGTACATGTGAGTGCAGGTGCCCATGGAGACCAGAGAGGGCATTGGAGCCACTGGAGCAGGAGTCACAGGCTGGGTGCTGGTAACCAAACTCGGGTCCTCTCAAAGCAGTGTACACTCTTAGCCCTAAGCTGTCTCTCTAGCCCCCATATTTAGTTTTAAAATCTAGATCCCCAGCAAAGATAGTACATTGCATTTGGGTGTTACATTCTCTTATTTTTCTTGCTAAGAACCCCATTACTTCTCCTTTTCTTCATGACACTGGCAGTTTGAAAGGTCTAGGCTGTTCTGAGGTCCTCTGTAAGTTGCATTTATTTCTTCTGGATTAGAATCAGTTAGACCATGTTACATGTGTCCTGCCTGACACAGTCTCAGCTGTGCCATTGCTGTTACCAAGTTTTGTCACTTGTGAAAGTGAGGCCTGTATCTGTATGCTTTCGATGGCTCTCTAGCAGCCTCTTGTCCTAAAGGATGACATTTTTGGATCCACATGTCTCATGTTCTTTACTGTGTCTTTCCAATAGGTTTGGCCCCTCTTTGTGAAAATATGCCTAGCGGCAAGGCCAACAAACCAGGGGATGTTGTCAGAGCCAGGAATGGGAAGACCATTCAGGTTTGTGAAGGGACAACAAAACAACCCCATGTGGCATTTCTCAGAACCCTATCTTGGCCACACAACTGCAGTGTAACTTGGGTATAGGATGCCAGCTCCTCTTTGGGGAAGGGTGATGTTTTTAGTATAGTTAGTTACTGATGGAGATTTTTAGAGTATTTTTTTTCTCCCTTGTTGTATCTCCCACTAGCTGTGCTATATGTTCTAATCCAGGATGTGTGGCCTGGCCTGCAGAGCACGCCACACCAGGAAAGCATGGGCTTGTAGAGGTGCTTGTGCCATGAGGAACTTCTCTTTCTCTGTTAGATGTTCAATTAGAAAACACTACCCTGCACTTGGGCTCTGTGCTCTGGCATCTCTGGAGCACAAATGTACATGTGTACACTGCTCAGGAGCCTGCATCTTTTGCTGAGGGAAGGGAATGGGATTAGAAAGGGTTACCAAAATTTTAAGAGCTTGGAGTTCAGACTGCCATTTAAATTTCCTTAAGGTCTTGGTTTTGGTTGGTAAGAGAGAGAAGATGAGGAGGCAGGCATGCTGCCCTGTCAGCCCTGTCATTCTTTCACTATCTCTTCCCAGTTTTCCTTCTTGTTAATGTTTGCCATTCTAATGGACCAGACATTTCCCTACTTACTTTCAGTGTAGGTGTCAGCAGCCAGGGCAGGGACTTACAAAGTTACCCTCCAGATTAGAAACGTTCCTGCTATAGCTAAAATATGTGTCCTTTAACTACCACCTCACAACTCGCTGACCTTTCCCCGCTTTGAAATCAAATGCTGTTGTGTCTGGGTTTCATATTCACTCCTTGGTTGTCTAAGCCCTTCTGCTTTTTATTTCTGCAGGTTGATAACACAGACGCTGAGGGCAGGCTCATCCTGGCTGATGCACTCTGTTATGCACACACCTTCAATCCCAAGATCATCATCAATGCTGCCACCTTAACAGGTCAGACCACAACTTCCCGTCTCATCTGAAACCTTACTTGTTGGATGCAGTGCACACACTGTACTCGGGGTGTTATTTTTCTGAAATTTGGTTTACTTTACTCACATCCAAAGATCCTTCAGTAAAGGAACTGCCTCTGCAGTTATAAAATGTTCTCAATATTAGTTCTCTCCTTTTAAAGCATTCCACAGTAACTTTAAGTATGCCACAGTGCATGTGTGGAGGTCAGAGGTTAACTTGTATGACTTGATTTCCCTCCACCATGTGGGTGTTGGGGATCACAGTTAGGTTGTGAGGCTTGGTGTCAAGCAGTAAGCCATCTTTCTGGTTCTTCAGAGGTAACTTTTAACAGATGGGTCAAATCAACTCATCTTGATTCAAAAACAGAGAGAGAAAGAGAGATGATTTTTGTTATGACTGCCATCTAATACAGATCTGAAAAGGCCAATACATTTCAAAATCAGTGGCATTTTTTAATATACTAATCATATATCTGATATCCAATCAATTTTCTAAACTTACAGTTCATACTGTAAAGAAATAAAGACATTTTGGAAGTAGCAAGATCTTTGTTTAGTGGACACACAGCAGTCATAGGCATGCAAGGAAAGCCCTGGCTTTGGGGTCAGCTTGGGTAGAACCCCTGCTCACTAGCTGGGCAGTTGCAGGGAGTGTCTTGGTCTCCAGTGTCAGTACCTGAGGCCGGCTCTGCTTGCTTCACAGTTGTAAGAGTTGGGAAGAGCTGCATGGAGCCTGTCGGAAGCCAGTTTTCCCTGAAGGCCTTGGCTCGGCTCTGTAGAGGCTGCAGAGATTCCTGAGGGGTGAGAGGGATGGTGGCTTGTTGAACAATCCCCAAACTCACAATCTTCCATCCAAAGATCTCTCCCTAGGAATTTACCTGTACTTCTTCTAAGATAAAAATTCAGATCATTTGTATCTTTGGTTGTTATCTTTCCTGAGTCAAGGAACCCTTCACTGGAGCAAACGTCATTTCATGTTCCTCTTGTGGCTGTAATAACAGTGGACAGTGGTTTACTAAGAATTCCTTTTTATTTCTATTTGTTGTTTTTTTGAAGTTTTCCCTTTTTAACTAATTTTTAAAACTGGCATACAAAAATGTAGTTTCATTTTGGCAGATTCATACATGTTTTTAATTGGGCATTAAATTATTTCTGTGGCATTCGGTCTCCCTATTCGTTTCTTAAAAACTTAAAACTTGAAGAGGCACCCATGACAAAGTTGGGGCAGTGATAGAGAGAACGGTGGCCTAGAGCCACTGAGCTAACACTAGCCAGTTATACTGGCCCTTGTCAGTAAGTATGCTTCTGTATTGCATCTGAAACTGTGGCAACAGCTGTAGAATTTTAGAAAACACAGTGATTTAAAATGTGTACTATGAAATCCTCTTCAAATCAAGATACTACATTAAATATTTAAGCTTATCATTTTCTGTTCTTTTAAGTGAAAATACCACATACTGTTTATAGTTAACTTTTATCCTTTTATGAGAAATTTTAAAACTGATGGAAATATTTATAAGTTTAGTAGAAAACTTTTGAAGAAAAATGAATATTGTATCAAAACCTACCAACTTCAAAGATAAGGCATTAAACCGATGGGCTAAAGTGTGACACACATATCCCACATGATGCCTCATAGGCCTCCAATAATTACAACTTGCTGTAGTATCTGATACATAGTTGATGGCAAATGAATGGCAGTCAGCATGTATTTAACTCCTTGTGTGCCAGGTCTGTGCTGGTAACTGAAGATAGAGGATGTATAGTAGTACCATATTCTTAACTGTTTAGAACTCTAGAAAGATCCATCCAAAAAAAATGACAATTACCTTGGAGTGAGCTTGTTGATGAAAATTGACATAATTTTCATTTCTGCATTTTCCCAATAAAGGGGACTTCTGGTTTTGAGAGACATAACTAGCTATAGAAGTGACTGTTCCCAAGCTTACATACATTTTATAATGAAGGGCCATTAATAGACTTTGGGACAACAGTTGTGGTCTGAGCAGCAGGGGAGACTGGCACTGACCTCAGGAGCTGTATCTTACAGGTGCCATGGACGTAGCCCTGGGATCAGGTGCCACTGGAGTCTTTACCAATTCGTCCTGGCTGTGGAACAAACTATTTGAGGTAGGCCTATAGACGTACACCTACAAGTTACAGTGATGAGAGTGTCCCTTGAATAATAGGGTTAATCAAGACCTGTGTTAAAGTGATTTCTCCCTGTTGGGTTGCCTTTGAATTGAAAATAGGTCATAGCAATAAACTTGATTCAGTGAGTTTAGGTTTTTTAAAGATACTTGTAAGTTATAGGTGTGACACCACTTTCTTCCCTGTCCTTATAGCCACAGAATGGTGTTAAAATACCTGACAAATTACTTGGCCAAGATTGAGAAGCTCTGAGGTAGAAACAGCACGAGGCCGACTTGTGAAAGAATGCCCCTCCGCTGAGTGCGTGTGGATTGAGCAGTGTAGACAGAGCTCTTGGGTGTGTCAGTGAGGAGGAGTCCCTTCTCTGCTCTGCTCTGTGCCCTTCCCAGTCATCTTCCATCCTTGCCCCTGCCTCCATTACACATTACACTGCACTCACTGCTACTGGCTTTGCCTGCCAATACCACTGTTAGCCTAACCTAGCCTGTTTCTAGCCAAGAGATGGCAGGGATTTCTTGGTGACCCTAGTCTTTGCCTTCTGTCATCCTCTCTTCTGGCTCACCTATGTGGCTGTCCTGCTTCAGCTCCGTTGCCAGCTGTTCGCTTTGTCCTCCTCTTTGGACAGTGTTCAGTCCTTGGCCTGATACGTGCTCAGATAAAGCTACCAGATACCTCATGATAAAGCTTGGCTAGTCCATGCCCTCTAACAGCTGTGTCTCCAGTGCTCCGTGTGGCTGCTGGCAGCTCCATCTGGCAGCTCATGTAGCCTTTCACAAGTAGTTAAGGCAGCTTACCAGAGGAATAGACACATAATCCATGAATACATTTATGAGTTTATTTAATGTCCTAGATTTATTTCTCACTTGGCAGTACTTCCCCCATGACTCTGTCTATTTTGTGAAGCTCACTCTCAGCCTCTCTAATAGCCAAGCTTCAGATTCCTTGAAGGCTGAGCCAGGAACCTCTCCTGGCCTTCCACATTACAGAGCATCCCTCTGTCATCATGGTACACACAATATTTGGGTTTTTTGAGTTATTTACTTTCCTAGCTAAAATAATGTGTTCACAGTCATAATTAAGTCAACAATCAGCAGCCTGAAGTCTGCTTTTCCCAGGGGTAGCTAATACATCTGATATACTTATTTCCTAAAACACCAGGTTCTGTTGCTGCTTTTTGATCTTTTACCCTGAAGCTTTATTTTTTACTTCTTGTGAGAATGAGTATACCAGCCTGCTTATCTTGTTTGAGCCTGTACTTTTGATGGTGCAGATGTTAACACTGCAGCTCAGCAGTGCTAGAAAGCTCAGTATCAGCAAATGAATGGGGAGTTAAGCAGTGCATGAGTGATGTCATCTTGGTTTTCAGTGATGGAGGTCTAGCATGCATGTCTCTAGCAGATCAAGGTGAATAGACCATTCCGAGTCTCCCACCCTAGTTAAAACTCTCAGAGCCTAAAGGCTCCAACTGAGACTTTATTAAATGTCCTATTTCCTAATTCTATGATAAATCTTTTGTGACCTAAAGCAATCGTAGACATCCCTCACACCCTTGCTTTGTGCATCAGACTATAAGGTTTCTCAGAAAGTACTCTCACGCTGTCACACTTTTCTTCAGGCCAGCATAGAAACTGGGGACCGAGTCTGGAGGATGCCTCTCTTTGAGCATTATACAAGACAAGTCATAGATTGCCAGCTTGCTGATGTCAACAATCTTGGAAAATACAGGTATGGGAAATGATAAATTTCTCTTTACAATCATTCTTGCTTGCCAAACTACCCTTTAGTCTCCCTTTTCTTACAGGAGATTTTAAAACTAACTGACTTCCTTTCAATGTAGTACTTCTAAGCTTACTGATGTTAAATTTTTCTCTAGTGAGTTCTCTTAATGTTAGAAATTTTCACATCTAGAGGTTATTTTAAGAAAATAAGAAAAAGTGAGGACAACTATAGGAATCCATTACACAGAAAAAGTTGCTTAGAATTTGTCATCATTCGATAAAGCTATATCTATAAATAAATATTCTGGAAGTGATTTCTGGTTAATTTCTTAATGGATTACATGAGATTAACTTTTCCCTTTTTATAGTAGATAGAATCTAGCTAGCACAGGTGTAATATTATTTTTAAAAGTCATTTATCTTGTGTGGCGTGATGGATGTGCCATGGTCCTGGGGCTTGTATGTAGAACAGGGACAACCCTGTGGACTGGGTGCTTTCCTTCCACATGTATGTGTATGTGTGTTCCAGAGACAAAGCTCAGGCTGTGAGGCTCATACAAGAAGCATACAATCCCCGCTGTCCCACTGGCTCTGAACGTGGCTTCTTAATGACATGTTAGTGCACTCTGACATAAGGAAAAGTGATCCTATGTTGCCTTTCTCTTCAGATCTGCAGGTGCATGTACAGCTGCGGCATTCCTGCGAGAGTTTGTGACTCATACGAAGTGGGCACATTTAGACATAGCAGGTGTGATGACCAACAAAGATGAGATTCCCTACCTGCGGAAGGGAATGAGTGGGCGGCCTACAAGGACCCTGATTGAGTTCTTACTTCGCTTCAGTAAAGACAGTTCTTAGTTCAAACACTCAGAAATTCCTCCATCTGTCTTGAATTGGATATTTGGCCTTCAAAATATTTTTGAATGAATGAAAATCTTTTAAAGACAAAAATGAATGTTGTTCTTTTTTTAATCTTAATTTTTGGAATATTTTAGTATGCTTGAATCATGGAAATCTAAATGATATATATGAGTTAATATAGGTCCTTTAAACTATTAAAACATCTTGTAATAATATGTATTTTCAAGCAAAATTTACTATTTTTACAAGACAGGAAAAAATCTAAGTCCATAAAAATGGACAAAGGGAGCCAGGCATGGTGGTGCACAGCTTTGATCCCAACATTTGGGAGGCAGAGGCAGCTGGATTTCTGATTTTGAGACCATTGTGGTCTATAGAATGAATTCAAAGATAGCCATGGCTATAACAGAGAAAACCTGTCACAGAAAAGGGAAAAAAAGAAAAAAAGCACACTGCCACCAACAAAATGTACAAAGGAAAATATAATTAATGACTTGGTTACATTTTCCAAGTTTTGATTCTTAAGGCAGATTATTTAAGTGTTCATATAACTTTCAAAATCTAGATCCAATGCAGTAAATAAATTACAATATTTCCTTCTGATAATTGTCTGTTACTGTGATTCAGTTCTGTGAAGGGTCATTATTTAAGAAACATCTGGGCAAGAATCAGCCATTTCTGTCTGATTCTTAGTCACTGACAGAGGAGCACACCAGGTCTTACACTGGAGTATATGCAAATGCTCTGCAGAGGTGCAAATGCTCCCAAAGGGTGTCTTGTCAGCACTCCGAAGTGCAGGCCTCACTACTGCAGCCTGCTGTTCCAAGCACTGCAGCCCTGGGGTTGGTTTTGAGGACACATACATGATGGCGTGTGACCTCTCACAAGCTCCTTTCCCTTAACTTACTTGTAGTTCCTTTCCTTCTCTTCTGCTAGAAGCCTTGATTCAGCAGTTAACCTGGGATGTGTTCCCACACTGTTCACGGGAGGCCTCAGTGTTGGCCTCATTATTCACGAGCTTCACACCTTGTCTTTTGGCAGCATATCCAGAGGCAGACTGGTGAGGAGAGAGACTGGCTGCCAGAATGCCTGAAGAGGCTGACGGCTCTCACTGTGTTATCTTCTAAGTTATTAAGACAGGACTCTTTCCTCTCAGCTGGGAGGCTAGGAACTTTGTCCTCAGTGACACTAGCAGTGGGTATTTTTTTGGGGTGGTTATGTCCCATGGCAGCACCTCTTGCCTCTTTTTGAGGAGATGCTTCTTCTTTCCTTTCCTTTCCTTTTCCTCTTTTTTCTTTTTTCAATAATTTATTTATTTTATGTATATGAGTACACTGTAGCTGTCTTCAGACACACTGGAAGAGGGCATCGGATCCCATTACAGATGGTTGTGAGCCACCATGTGGTTGCTGGGAATTGAACTCAGGACCTCTGAAAGAGCAGTCAGTGCTCTTAACCAATGAGCCATTTCTCCAGCCCCTTATTTTCTCTTCAGGTTTGCACCTCAGCTTGAACTCTCACCTAGCTTAGCTCTCAGTCTTGTCGTTTCACTTCACAAGCGGAAGGTGCCTTTCATTTGCAGTTTCAGCCCAGTATACAGAGTCTACTGGTTCTCAGATATGCTTTCATCCTCTGGATGGATGGTTTGCCTTTTGTGTTTTCATTTTCTTTAACTTGTCAAGCTTTAGGTGAAGTAAATCCTATTGAGTCTATCCCATACCTTTGTGTACCCCTGCTCAGTTCACTGGTCTTGTGTGTCAGCATGAGTGGGTAACTATTGTCCTAATAGTGCAAGTGAATGCAGATATTTGCAGAGGCCAGGGGAGGTGGAGTTACAGGTGTTTGTGGGCTATCTAGTGTGGGTGCTGGAATGTGAACTCGGGCCTTCTAGAAATGTAGAGTATGCTCTTAATCATTAAGCCATCTCTCCAGCCAGTGGATAACTAGCTTCAAAAGTTAGATTGTGTTAGCTTAAACTAGTCTATATCAGGCTAGGGAGCTGACTGTGCTGTACATTACTACAGTGTAAACCATTACAGAGAAGTTGTCTCACAGTAATCTTCCCAAGACTGTGCTCTCCTATTTGATGAGTGAAAAAACAGTTAGCAAAACAAGAAGTGAATGCCTTATGCTCTGGATACATCCACGAGAAATACATTGATGTGTTCTTTATCAACTTACATCATGGTTAGATTTGCAAAAAAGGAAAAAAAAAATGATGTCACTAAGTGTCACCACTCTAGAGGCAGTAGGACTTGGGAGAATAGAGAATGAAGCTGACTAAAGTCTCAAGCAATAGCTAGCATCTTTATTCAGAGCCTCGGACAATTTATACTGAGGGTTAAGAGGAGTCATATGACAAAGTTCTCATGAGTTCAAGCTGTACACAATCACAAGGACAAGCCATGTGTTTTCATAGAGGAATGTAAAGGATAGTTACAACAAGCAATGAGTAATCTGAAGTAAATTCACTCCTATTCACTATACTAGGGAGGAGCATGAAAATGCATTTCCAAGAAAAACTGTTTTAAACTGAGATCACAAGACTCTTGTCCTTGGAGTGTTCTCACAAACACTTAGAATTCTCCTCACAGGATTCCATCCCTGGATCATGTTCTGACAACTAAGTGATTTGTTGTTTCGGAAGAGTTGTGATTTCCATAAACAGGTTAATAGGCTGGCTTTTGGGTGCCAGAGGCAGGCTGAAGAAAGCATCCTTCTGGTCGAGCACAGTGTACGTGGTGTGCTCAGGGTGAGGAGGCTGCTCAGCAGGGTGTAAGGGTTTGGAACTTGGGGATGAATATCCTTTATCCACCTATTTACTTCCCTCAAGTCCTGTGTGGGTCAGTGGTCACAGGAATGAGGCTTTTTGACTGGAAGGAGGTGGATGTTTTGTGCTGATTGACAAGGGACCCAGATCCCAGCTTCCTAGAGCTGGCTGATATCTGGGGTTATCCCCAGTGGGCCTCTGTTGGCATTGGATATTGTCTGATGTGAACTGGGTAGCTCCAACCTATGATTGGGGCCCTCTGATGGTCTAGTCTGATTGAATTTCTCTCTGCCCAATCTTCAGGGACCTTAGTCAGGATAGTCAGGAAACTCTGGAGCAATGGACTTTGTGAGGAGGGCATTGGCTGAGGGAACAACTTGTATTCTTCTAGGGCCAGGGTCAAAACATAAATAGGGCCATTCTTATCCAGCACTTCCAATCATTCTGGGCCAAAATGGATTTGGGCTCCCATTTTGATGAGGTGATCTCTCCCTAGCACAGAGATGATCACAACAGGGTGAGTTACTTGTCCCCTCCCAAGTTCACCTTTCTTCTGGTAGTCCATTGCTAGGGCTTAGTGCCCCTTGTCCTTTGTACCCATGATTGTCTATTTGACAGTAGTCCCAGTGGTTGTTTTAAAATGGAATGTTGTGTGCCAGTGTCCACCAGAAAATCTATTGGTTTCCCCTCCAGCTTCAGGTTTACCCAGGGCGCATGGAGGAGGTTCAGCTCTGCCACCCTTAGTCACTGACTTCTGCTTATTCCAGGACTTTGGGTTTTCTGTTGGGGCATTTATTTTTCTAATGGCCCATTTCTTTGCAGTAGGTAAATTTGTCTTTCTTCAGTGTCACTTGGACTCAGGATTCCCCACCAGTTGTACCCTGCTTACCTCTTTTCTGAGTCATGTCTCTCAGTCCCCTGTTGTCCTTGTGGTCTTGGTTGGTGGCAGCTAATATTATTTTGGTCAGTCCCCCGTTTTGTCGCTCCTTGGGGTTTTTCTATTGTAGACTTTTTCTGCTATAGCTACCAGCTCTCCAAGTGGTGGAGTTTTCACTGAATTCAGGGGCTATCTGGTTAACAAAAGCCATGTTCACAGCTGATTGGTTTTTCTCTGGCTTTAGGATCAAAGTGGGTATGGGTTCTGTAGGCCTCCATGTGTCTTTTTAGAAACTTCCTAGGCTCATCCTTTCCTTGGGTAACCTGGCTTACCTTGGGTAAATCTGTCGGCCGCCTGGCAGTCTCTCAGAGGCACCCCATTAGAATCTGGTGGTGGCCCAATGTCTCTCCTTACCTCCATCAGGCTTGGAATCCAAGTCAGGTCGAATTAAGGAAACGGCTGCATCAATATCAGCCTGAACTTGGGTGGAGGGCCTGTTTGCCCAGAACCAATTTCTGAGTGGCAACCACAATTCTCTCTTTCTCTTCTGTGGTGAAGAGGATCTGCAGCAGTTACTGATGGTCATCCCAGGTGGGCTAGTGAGTCAGCCTGGCTGAGTCTAGGAGAGCTAGAAGAGCTGGTGGTCTTTCTGAAAACGGTGTGTGTGTGTGTGTGTGTGTGTGTGTGTGTGTGTGTGTGTGTGTGTTCCATCTTCCAATTATACAGGTCATTACTGACCAAAAGCAAATAGTTCATAAACTTGCATTCAAGGGAATCTGGGTGGGGGTTGGTGTCTTGGCCTGTTCCCAGAGCTTAGGCAGGGTAGCAAAAGCTAAATGCAATATCTGAACTGCTAGTTTATAGCCTCTCATGGAGTCAGCCTGACTCAGGCCAATTTACACCTAATTTACCAGTTTGGATATTGGGTTTCACTTTTGCTTTCACACATACACACACACACACACACACACACACACACACACCCCATTTAATATTTTTTTTGAGACAGGGTTTCTCTGTGTAATTGTGGCCTTTCAGTATGATGATGTATATCTATATAATCTCATCACTCAGCAGGCAGAGGCAAGACTGCTAGATTCAGCTCTGCCTGGGCTGCAGAGTGAGGCCTTATCTCAAAAAACAAAGAGAGGAGAACACAGAAGTTGGAATTTGTTGGGAAAAAAACTGATACAAGAATTTTTGTGGAAGTTTTATTTGTGATATCCCCAAGTTAGAGACAACCCAAATGTTCTGCAATGAGCAAATGGTTAAACAAATCATTATTATCATGGAATATTACTCTGCAGTGGAAAGGAACATACTACTAATATATGCAACTTAGATGAGCCTTGGGGCAAAACACACCACACACACACACACACACACTCCAATTAATCTTAAAAAGCCTTTGCTAGCTCAGTGACTGGGCACTGCTAAATCTCTCCTGCCACTCCATGCATAATCAGATAGAGTAGCCATTGGCCACTCAAAAAAACGAAAACTCACATGGCTGGTTGGTGTTATCTCCTGCAGCTACTCCTGGCTTCTTTGCCTGCTCTCCTTATTCTGCCTGTGTCCTCCTTCACAACTCTTAAGTATCCCACCCCATCCTCAGTCATTGGTCACTGGTGTCTTTATTGATGGATCAAGAACCAACTGAGGAACAGGACCTTAGCATCAGACCCAACCCCTACATCAGGAGACCAGACCTAAGTTTGTTTTTCCCAGACTCAGGCAAATCAGCTACTAGAACAACCGCAGGTGTATTTACACACATCAGCATAAGAAGGCCAAGTGGTTTTGTGAGGATGGAAATGAAAACAGCCAACAACTCTCATAGTGCAACCTGTTAGTCTAGCCAACAGTTCTGCATCTATTGAGGCTGTAGATGGCTGTAAAAATAACTTTTATTCACCTGATGAAACTGTTGTCTCAAAGGCTTACTGCCTCCATCTGCTAACTTAGGCCTAGTCCTGGAAGCTTCTAGCCTCCATACAATCTTACCTAGTATTTTTAGCCTCTGAGACTTGCTGAATAGGGGTTATTCTTTCTAGCTCTTTCTAAGTTCTGTTGGCTGGTTCAACTCAGCTGTTCTAGCTCAAACTCATCACTAGGCTGACTGACTCAGTCAGACTGCTATCTCAGCCTCTCCTGAATTGTTTTTGCTTCACCTAATACTAACTCTAACAATCTGTTCTAATCTTCTGGCTCTTCATTATCTGGCTCATTGTGTCTTCACCTGTTGTCTAGCTTGTTCTCTCTTCAACCTGTGTAAGACTCTCCTGCTAAACTGCCCTTTTACCCCTCCCTCTCCCTCTCCCCCTCCCCCTCCATCCCCTCCCCCCTTCCCCCCCCACCCACACACCTCTGCCTCTCAATTAGACATCACTTTCAAACATGGGTGCTTCCTTCTACAAACTAAGGGCAAGTCTGTATTCCGGCCAGAGAGATTAAAGGTGTGTGCTAAGGCTGAAACACACAACAAATAGAAAACAATCTCAGGGGTCACAGTGTGATCAAATATCCTGCAAAAGATGGCTGTTCTGGAAAAATTTCTACATGGTCCTTTCTCTTACAATGGTCACAACATTGTTAAGATGAAGCCAGAGTGAATGTGAACAGTTCTGATGGTATCCACCCCACATATACATAGACCTAGCACTTCCTCACCTGTGCTCAGAACATGGTTGAGACAAACTAGTTAACTGTCAGACTCAAGAAACTGCCTGTACAGCTTGCACCAGCAGCACTGCCATCTTTGTTGGTTCATCTTACATCTGCCATGGGCCCACTGCAGCCTGGCCAATCCAGTGCTGAGATGCAGCATTCCTAGCCCGGAGCTCAGCTACCCAAGCCTCTGTGCTTATTTTTTTCAATCAACAAATGTTTTTCTATATTCAGACAGAGTTCTGGATGTTGGGCATATGGATAGCTAAAATCTGACTAACCAGGCAAAGTATTTCTTTAGGGGCTTTTTTTTTTTTTTTTTTTTTTGTCTAGAAAGGTCTATTCAAATTTTCATTCCAACCGAGATCTCTAGAGAGGCACTCCTCAGTCACCCATCAAAGAGCTTTTAGTTCTCTCCCGAGCATTTTCCTCAGTACTTATCTCTACAAGTAATGCTTTATGTATTTATGGCCTTTTTCTTCCTATTTGGGGTATTTACTATCACTTCTAGATTATTAAACGGTGCCTAACTGGAAACTGGAAGGACTGTTAAGTTGAAGGGACACTAGCCCACTTGAGTATGGCTCTGGCAAGCCTTGTTCTTCTCTGCCTTGCTAAGAACCGTTAGATTATGTTCCTAAAGCTAGCCACTGAGGTGTGTTCCCTTACTTGGCCACTTCCTTTTCCTGAGGCTGACTACCAAGGTCCAGATATCAAAGTATTGAAGTCCAGCAATCAAAAGCCCCCTTTGGTTCACCAATTAACATGTTCAATTAAAATTGAACATATCATCCTAACTTGGGGTTTCCCCTTGTGGTTTTATAAAAGTTCATTTTCCTATATGCTGCATCTGTCTCCTCTCTATCTAGAGGCAGTCTTTTATCCCTCAGTGACAAATACCCCCCAACCCCCTCAATTCTTCCCTTCCCCTTCATCTATCTCCTGTCTCTTATTCCCTGCCCTGTCTGTCTAGGGCAAATAAATCTTTTGGCTGAAAACTTGGTCTTGGGGGTCCTCAGCTGCTAATTTTCCTTTCTTAAGTGTTGTTAAATTAGCCGAGCGGTAGTGGCCCACGCCTTTAATCCCAGCACTTGGGAGGCAAAGGCAGGCGGATTTCTGAGTTCGAGGCCAGCCTGGTCTACAGAGTGAGTTCCAGGACAACCAGGACTACACAAAGAAACCCGGCCTCGAAACCCCCCCCCCCAAAGAAAAGTGTTGTAAAATTAAATTTAAAGAACTATTTGGCTTCTGAATTAGTGAACAGGCAAATATTAAAGTCGCTATTAAAACCGATGCAGTTTCCCTCTAGTGTTATCATATACACTTAGAAAAGCGCCAGGGACACTGGTAGCCTTCAGGATGTCACTCTTTTTAGTCACCTCACGCCAGAAGTTAGAGGGAACTTGTGTTGTTCCAGCTATAACAAGTGACTAGATTGGCATTTGGTACATAGCAAGTCCTCAATCACCGTGGAATGAACTGATGACTCCTCATTTTACTAAGGAGGCGCAGAAAAGACTCCGCTAAGGTCTTGAGGAACAGCCCAGGTGCTTGGCGGGTGGCGGGAAGGCCCGGGCGTTCAGTCTCTGCAAGTGACTGGTTTAAACCAGTCGCAGCCTTTGGTACCGAGGTCAATAAAGAGTAAACCCAAGTGGCCTATGAACCGGAAAGACCGCACAGAAACTAGGATTCATGGGTTTCCTTTCTCTCGGCGAACGATGAACCGCCCGTCACATGACCATACCTGCCACGTGATCAGGCTGCCCGCGCCTGCGCACACAGGCCCGGTGGCATTTCCGCCCGCCATAGCAGTCATGGCGTCGTCCCTGGGAGGGATGTTTACCGGGCAGCCTCCAGGTCCTCCTCCGCCGCCGCCCGGGCTCCCAGGCCAGCCGTCCCTTCTGCAAGCAACCCCTGGAGCTCCGAGACCATCTAACAGCACTTTGGTGGACGAGTTGGAGTCATCATTCGAGGTAAGCCAAGATGTGGGCGTCTTTGTGCAGCCCTCACTCGCGTGCGGAAGGCCGCACAGGTTAACACCGTTCTCGGTCCCAGCGCCTAGTGGATGCGGGGGACCGGAGGATGGAAGTCGCCTGCTGTAGGTTGGGTACCACCCGTGGCCGGTGGTCTCGGGTCTGCCCTCGCAACCGCGACATTTCTGAAGACCGTGTCTTTAAGTCCGTTCAACTCCCATCAACCTCCGGGCGGCTTTTACCCCTGGGGTCTGGTAGAAGCTAGTCTTCCTTGGAGCGTGGTGACCTCGGCTGAGCTCCTCTGAATTTTCAGGTCACATACTGTACGATTTTCCTGTGTTTCTCCGTGTTCTGTGTAGGCCTTCCAGTGGCCTCTGGCACCTGCTTATCTGTTAGCTTTTCTATGTGGGTGCCACCCCTTGACGTCTCTGACTTTCGCTTTTTAGCCGTCTGGTAAATGCTCTTTGCTGAGATAAATTGAGTTCTTACTATAGGAGGAAACTTTGGTAGAATGTTTGGGTTCTTCTACTCTTGGAAGCAGAAACTAAGATCAGCAGTAACTTGACCAAAGTCGACCTTGGTTTATGCAAGCGAAGACTAGTATTCTGGCCTTCTACTTTCCAGGAAAAAGCTGGCCTACTCATACTTCTGAAAAGTACATTCTTTTAAAAAAGAAATTGTATTTATTTTATTTATGCATGTTACTGGCGCACTTGTGGAGGTCAAAGGGACAACCCGCAGAAGTCAGTTCGTTACATCCACCATGTGAATGCAAGGGATGGAACTCAGGTGCGGTGGCAAACACCTTTACCGATTAGCTGTCTCATCAGCCCTAAAATTCTAGTCTTTTAAAAGACCGGCATGCGTTGTTTTTACCTCCATAAGACCGACTGTCGATAAAGGTCCATGCTTTAAGTGTTTTTCAAAGGATAAGTCGGGCCAAGAGGTCACCAGGAACTAAAGTGTTGAAGTTAATTTTTGTTTGTTGGTTTTGTTGTTGTTGTTATTGTGTTATTTTTCCGAGAAAAGTTCTCTGTGTCGTGCTGGCTGTTATGGAACAAGCTGACTTTGAACACATAACTGTTTCTGCCTCCAGAGTGCTGATTTGTTTGTTGAATTGTTACAGGAGTGGGAAACCCTTGTGACTGCTCCATACCTCAGATCTGGAGCTAGCCAGGAGGATTCCTTGCTTCTGAAAGGAACTTTGCGTGTAGTCATGACTTGTGTTTGGAACCCAATTTTGGTTCTGTGTTTTTGTTTTGTTTTCCTTAAGTGTTTGCTCACTGCTGCCAGGGGTCATAGTTCCCAGCCTCTGTTCCTCTGTAAGCTGCCATCATGCTCTTTCTCCTTTCTCGTCTTTTCTGAGGGCTGCTTGTGCCCTTGTGGTGCACTCATGTGTACAGCTCAACTGGTGCCCTTTCAAAACTCCCTCTTTGGGATTTGATTATCCACATGACACTAACCATTTATTATACAGACATCTGTTATTTTTTTAAATTTTTTAAATGCCAAATGGTATTCCAAGTACTTAGAATTAATAGTGCTGAACCGCACAGGCAGAGCTATTGGTAGAAGACAAATAACAATGGCTGAAAAGAGTGAATCATAACATCAGTTACTTCTGTGACAAGCTTGCCAAGCTCCACTGTAGAGCATGAACAGGAGGTACCATTTAGAAAGAGTAGACAGGTGACATCATGACATAGTAATAATATACAATTCATGTAAGGATCAGCCAGAGTGCCGGGGCCATGATGGCGTTGAAGGGTATCCAGGTGTGGAATAAGACAGTGAGAAAGAGGCAGGTGGTGGGAATAAGACCATGTGATGAGGTGCCAGACCACCTGAGATGTGCTTTACCAGGTGTCTACACTGGCCCGATGGCCTCAGAAGAAGTTCTTTCCTGTGCATAAGTAATAGCTGGTGTGTAGATAACGTTTTTATGTTTTGCTCATGCAGGCTTGCTTTGCTTCCCTTGTGAGTCAGGATTATGTCAATGGGACTGATCAGGAAGAAATTCGAACTGGTAAGATTCCCTCTTGCACACTGTGTTCTTGTCATCAGGAAGACGTCGATTGTTGACTTTATAGCTGTGTGTTAAGCCCTGCATGTATCTTGGAACGTTTCCAGGGAATAAGATGTGTGCAAAGTTTCCATAAACTCTGGCTCTCTGTTTGGTTCACTAGCTGACATGTTTTCTGAGTCTTTATGAACCACTTAAAATGAGCTTTTCATATGGGTACTCCTGTGTAACACTAATGAACGCTGTTGTTTGGTTTTTTTTTTTTTTCCATGGAAAATGTGGCTTTTAAGCCACCAGAACACAGGCACCTCCAACACCCTTAATCTTCTCTTCAGCTCTTCTGCTGAAGAATTTGGCCTTCACAATGACAGGTTACTTAGGGAGCTTTCCCTTGCCCAGAACTTTGTAGTAGCCAGATCTCACAACTCACAACATCAATGACGGGAGCAGCTCCAGTCTTGTTTTTGGCTGCGTTGACCCGCGTCTGCTCGCTAACCAACGTCCATAATTTATCCAGGTTGACAGTTGGGCAGAAGCTCTGGTTCCTCTTCAAGTGGTAATGCCTCATACCAACTTTCCCGAAGTAACCTGGATGATATTTGTCAAAGTTGATCCTGTGGTGGTGCATGCCTCCAGCATTTCCGAGGCCTCCTGGGTGCTTGCCGATGCGGCCGTGGCCGTGGCTCACGTGGCCCCGGAGTTTCCGGGTCTTCCTCAGTCTGGATGGCATGGCGGTGGCAGAAAGGAAGGAGGGGAACGCTGTTTATTTTAAAACCCACAAATTTTGTTAAGTTTTTTTTCACCAGCTCTGACAGAAATATAAGTGTTACACATTTTTTTTTTTTTGGAGACAAGAGTTTCTCTGTGTAGACTTGGCTGTCCTGGAACTCACTCTGCAAACCAGGCTGGCCGCAAACTCACAGAGAGCTGCCTCCTGTCTCTGCCTCTAGTGTGCTGGGATTAAAGCCGTGTACCACAATCCACCCTGTTATGTATATTATTATCTCCAGTGTCTCATAACTTTTTTTATAGTGGAAATTGTCCTAATTTGCTAAGTTTGGATTGTGTTTCTTGGAAAGACTTAAGGACTTCTGTGTTGTATAAGATCTATGACCTGAAGAAATAATGAATTACCTGTTACTTCATGCTCATTTTACATGGGAACATGAAGATGATTATTGCTGTCATCCAAATTAAAATCCCAAATTATGTCTATGAGAAAATGCTGTTTTAATTTTTAGCTATACATTTTACATATTGTGTATAAGTAAACTTTTGTTGTTTTTTTTTTAAGGTGTTGATCAGTGTATCCAGAAGTTTTTAGACATTGCAAGACAGACAGAATGTTTTTTCTTACAAAAAAGGTTGCAGTTGTCTGTCCAGAAACCAGATCAAGTTATCAAAGAGGTAAGAATTTGACTTTCCCCCAACTTCTGAGGAGAACAGTTGTCATTTGGATTCTATTGTATCTTAACAAGATGTACCCTCTTCCTGTAAGTTGTAGGAGGTCTTTATAGGTCAGTGAAGTGACGAGGGTGCCAGCATTTATGACAGCCTGGACACACAGGGAGGTCATTGGAGAGGGAGCAGAGCTGCACACAGCCCTGCCCACTCATGTCACACACTGGTTTTCCTGGAAAAGCTTTCTTAAAGAACAGGCTTTGCCTCCTGAGAAAAGTCAGAAAACCATCAGTATAGATTTAAAGATAATTTGGACAGGAACTGTAACTGTGTTCCCAAATCACTTTACTCGGTTGATACCTTAGGCATAGGAAATGGCCTACTAACTTCATGGAATAAAAAACAAATATAGCCAGACATGGTGGTGCATGACTTTAATTCCAGTTCTCAGGAGGCGGAGGTGGGCAGACCTTATTTAAGTTCAAAGTCAGTCTGGTCTACATAACAAGTTCCAAGCCAGCCAGGGATATATTGTGAGATTGTGTTTCTTTAAAAAAAAAAAAAAAAAAAAAAAAGGAAGAAGGAAGGAAGGAAATTGTTGGAGTTCAGCTTCAGCAGGGTTCTGGTCTGAAGGGTGGATGTGTGGAGTTGGCCAAAATGAGTCTGGCCACCATTTGTTTCTCAGATGGCTCTAAATAGTTTGAGCCCTCTTTATTGATACAAGTTCCAGAGCAGTCGAGCATGAGCGGTTTCAAATCATTTCTCCTTAATCATTTCCAGGCATCGTTGACATTTACCCACTTTGGTTTCTTTCCTCCTCCCCACTCCCACGCTGTCATTAGTTGACTTTTAACTCATATCTAAGCATTAGTTAACTTTTACTTCATATCTGTGCTTACATTTTATATTTCAAGCCAGATGATTATATCTGTCTAGCTAGGCATCTCCTTTTAATACTGTATCTAGACTGGTTATAGACGTGCAGTTACAAAAATGATTGATCTTTAACAACATGTTGCTTTTTTATTTTTGTAATCACCAGAGAGTGTGCTACCCTGCCTAAAATATTTTTCAAGTTTAAGTCTAATTTTATGTCTTACATATCATTTCGTATGAACAGTAGATGTAGTCCTTCATACATTTTCAGAATGGTAATGATTAATACCTAAATCTTAACTGTTGGGACCAAGTTTCTATTTTTCTTGGCAGATTCTACATGTACTTTTTGCCTCCAAGGGGAATGGGAGATTTAGATTCTATGTTGATTTTTCTGGCATTGGAAGGATGTCTGACGTTTCTGCCCTTTATTCTTCCTTTATATGTTCTATAGGTTCTTAATGCCATCTTTTAAGAAACTGTCTCCTAAGTTCTTGGAATATAGTTATCTCTTTTTTAGATTAGTTAAGTAAGCAAGAACTATTAACCTTATTGAGTTCCTCCTGCTTACTGAGGATGACTGTGGAAGCAGCCAGGGACAGCCAGGAGAACTGGTTTCTGTGTTTCAAGAAAAAACTCCAGGTTCATCATAAATCTAGCTGTAATCATGACTAATAAAGTGAAAGAGAAACTAAAAATTACCATAAATGTAAACACAGCAAAAACCAAAAGTACCGTGCTTCGTAGGATTGGTGCAGGCCTTTGCAATAGTTTCCACAAGTCCTTGCCAAGTGGACTGGGATCTCCAAGGGCCTTGCCATAAGGAGCTTGTTTCAGCATGGCTTCTGCCATTTTTCTAGCCAAAGTTTCTTAAAAGTGCGATTTAAACTGGGATATTTGGAAATGAGTTGCCTTGAGAACTAGGAAGTTTCAATGTTTTTAGTGAGATAATTCCTGCCACCCCAGTATAGAACACTGAACTCCTTCCAGCTCCAAGGCCAGTTATACTTCCACTGAGAAAAGCAAAACTGAGTAATGGTTTTTGAAATAAACAGGTTTCCATGACCAACTCATCAGAAAGGGTCTTTTCATCCAGGAGACCAGCTGTTGAGAACAGTAACAGTAAGATCATAGTCTTAAAGTCTGTTACACCAAGTACTTCTTGATATGAATACACCAATAATATAGAAACGGTTAAAATTACTATTAAAATTTTTCCTTGTTTTATCTGTATAAGTGTTTTGTCCCACTGTGTTAGTATGTGTCATATGTGTACTGCCATGCAGTACACACAGATGCTAGAAAAGCACATTGGATCCTCTAGAACAGGAATTATACGTGGTTGTGAGCTGATTTGTGGGTGCTAGGAACTGAACCCAGGTCTTCTGCAAGAGCAACCAAGTGCTCTTAACCACTGGGCCATTTCTCCAGACCCAAAGTTAAATTTCAATAAAGAATTTAGCATCATTGTTCATATTAAGCTTTTGAAAAAGATGTAATTTTTTTAACACTTTATAGTCTGAAGTTGTAGAATAGTGTGGATCCTTACAGAGAGCTGTTAACACCTGTTTCATATTTTTAGTGTTTGGTATTTTTACTAGTGGTCTTTTAGATGTTCTCAGGTGATTTTTAATCTTAGACTTATATTTTTTCTTATTAAAAGAAAAACCATTAAATATTAAAGTTCTTGTGTAAGGCAGACATCTCTCATTGGAAGAGTTGCCTTTGCTACATGGTGGTGGTGGTGTCTGCTGTACACACCTTTACTCCCAGTACCTGAGAGGCAGAGGCAGGTGGATCTCTTGAGTTCCAGAACAGCTAGGGCTACACAGAGAACCCTGTCTGGAAAAACAACAAAGCATTGATTTGGCTGATTCAAATAGCAGGGCCTACAGAGTGATGAGCTTTTTTAAAGCTTTGGTGGGTTCCCTTGTTTTGGTTTTGCTTCTTAGTGTTGCTTTTTTTATGCCATTTCAGCATAACTAGGCAAACTATATCTCCTCCCCTTTTTTCTTCTTCCTCCTCCTCCTGTTTGTTTTTTGAGACAAGGTCTCACTGCATTACCCAAGCTATTATGGAACTCACTCTGGCCTGAAAATTCATGATTCTGCCCGAGCCTCCAAAGTAGCTGGGATTACAGGGCTGTTCCACCAGGGTCATCCTAATGCTCCTTACTAAGGAAGAACTTTATTCATTTGCTCTTGTTTGAGATGGCTGACCTCATCACTTTATTTCTCCCCCCACCACTTTGGTCTGTAGGATGTCTCAGAACTAAGGAGTGAATTGCAGCGGAAAGATGCGCTGGTCCAGAAGCACTTGACAAAGCTGAGGCATTGGCAGCAGGTACTGGATGATATCAATGTGCAGCACAAGAAGCCAGCTGACATGCCTCAGGGCTCCTTGGCCTACCTCGAGCAGGCATCTGCCAACATTCCTGCACCTCTGAAGCAGACCTAAGCACTCCTGCCTGTGGTGGAGCCCTGCAGTCTGCTAGACCTTTCCTAACAGACCTGGCATATTGGAAGGACAATTTTGGATAATGAGTTGGTATTTGTTTATGTCCCTATTTATAAGGTAGGGTTTCAGTATGAAGCCCGGCTCGGCCTTGAACCTGTTATCCCCTGCCTCAGCTCCTCAGTACTCTAAATTCTTGAATACTTTATAAAATACCTGTATCTTTGATAAAGTAAAGTTCGGTTTTGTTTTTTTGTTTTTTTGTTTTTTGTTTTTTTTTTAAATCTTTAGCACTGTTAAATTTTTACAAAAATTCTTACTTGGCCTTTACCATTTGTTTTGACAACATTTTGTGGCTTCATCTTCCTTTTTTTTTTTTTCTTAAGCTATGAATTTGGTGGAAAATCTGAAGGAAAAAATGTTTAATGGTTTGAGAAACCAGGGATACAGAGTTTGGTTGTCAGCCTTAGTAATGACCCATGTAGTGTAGACAAATATGTAAATGTGCTGTTCCAAAACTGAGCTCCCTCGTGAGGACTCTGGCATGGCAGTGTGATGCTTCCAGGGTGGCACAAGGCGAGCGTATTTTACAGGTGACTCAGAAGGGGTTAAAATATGCTGTTCATGTAGATTACAGCAGGATACTTACCTTAATGCTGGATTTTTATCTGGGCTAAGTTACATTTTCTGAGTCCTTATTCACTCTGTCTTGAAGGCACACATATTAGGAGTATGGCATGCTGAGAGCTCTCAGGCTGTGATGGTCAGCATAAGGATGGAGTCCCAGGGAAGGCTCCCGTGAGGAATAAGGCCAAAGACCTGCTTGGATTGTCTCTGTCTCTGCGTTTTATTTGCTTGTTTGTTTGTTTTGTCCTCCCACCCCCCAAAGCCAATCACTTCTCTTTACCTAAAACAAACACTCCACACCTCTTGAACAGTCAGTGCATCTCCAGCTTGGTTTTGTCCAACTTGGTTTCTGGATAGTTGAAGCCCAGGTTACAAGTGTTAACATCCACTATCCATCTGGTCTCCGAAGCTTCAGAATGCCTCTTCACTGCATCCCAGGGCACAGTGTTTTGTTTTGTTTTTAATTTTGTCGACGTTCTTAAATTCTACATATGCTTTATGAATTGTGACTATGTTAGTTGCTCTATTGTATGCCTGTTAGAATTAGGAATTTCTTGATTATGCAAGATCGTACTATTTTCATGTGTATGCTTGATTGTATGATATTTAGTGCCTGGACCAATTAGAATCAGTCTGAGGCCATCAAATCCCTTTAATTAGAATATATAAATTAAACAAAGTATTGAAAAATTTAGGCTGGCATGGTGGCATGCGTATAATCCAGCATTTGGGAGGTAGAGGAAGAAGGCTGGAAGTTTAATCTCCTCTTCAGCTACATAGCAAGTTGGAAGCTGTTGTAGGCTACATGAGATCTGCCTCCCTCCCCTCAACCTCTGGCAAGACAACAAACAAACAAACAAACACCCTAAAACCCTTGAATGACAGCTTGGCAGTTGTTGGATTTTTTGGCTAAAACCTAAATAAACTGGTTACATTTTGGCCATTTTTTTTTTTTTTTAATAATAAAGAAGATGGCAAAAATACCAAAATCATTCTTGGTGCTTAGTGAAAATATTTTTAAGTTAGTATATATACAAGTTACTGTTTTTTAAAATCGAGTACAACAGGTTAAAATAATTTTCCCATTTTGTCAGTTTGTGTGTGTGTATCTGTGAACATGTTTGGGGAAGGATTACATGTATGATGTTAGAGATCCAGGTGGTAGCTCTTTTCATGTTACCTTTTGAGAGACAGTTTCTCACTGAATTTGGCCTTGTTTACTGGCCAAGACTAGCTGGCTGGCAAACCGCAGTGATCGTCCTGCCTCTCTTAGTTCCAAGCCCTAGGAGTAAGCTACTCTGCTCGGCTTTTATCCTGGTACAACCACATGAGCTCAGGTCTTCAATTACATACACGTGCTTTACTTACAGAACTATCTCCCAACTCCATCTCTTTCCTCCTAAGTAACACTTTGCTAGCTGTTGAACACAGAAATTCCAAGCTGCATGTCTTTGAGGGGGTTTCCATTGGCTTGCTGCTCCTATATGTAACCTAACAGATTCAAGAAAGTTTCTTGCTTGTTTCAGTTGCCTACCTGGGTAAGACCAGCCTGTCCACTTATATGGATTCTAGACCAGTCCTTTCTCTAGGATTACACACTATGGTGATTTCTGCCACTTGCAACTGTCTGTCCTTTGCTCCTTCCCTGCACTCACCCAAATTCTATCATAATCTATCAAATTCTATCCTATATCTCCTTTGATCTTTTCCAGCTCCATATTCCTTCTGAGTTCCTTCCTCTCCAACTGTTTTTGTCTATCCTACAATTGTGCTTGTGATCATCTTTGGCAACAGAGCCGATGTACTCACTTCCTTGTCTTCTATACAGGAACTTTAGCTTCTTTAACTTTTTTTGGGGGGGGGCAGTTCAAGACAGGGTTTCTCTGTGTAGCCCTGGCTGACCTGGAACTCACTCTGTAGACCAGGCTGGCCTCCAACTCAGAAATCTACCTGCCTCTGCCTCCCAAGTGCTGGGACTAAAGGTGTGCGCCACCACTGCTCGGCTAGCTTCTTTAACTATCGACATCCCTGACTGTTGGTTTTCTAGCTGAAGACGACTACTCAGTTTTGCTTTCTAAAGTGCTGTTGTAGGAAATACAGTTACAGAAACTAACATTGGTTGTGCCAGTCCTGGGTATTGGTTTGCCCAGCATGGGTGCTACAGTCAGGTCTGTTTCTGGACTCCTCTAGTGGACAGTCTGTTATTCTAGTCCAGAAGCTGACCTGGCAGTGCTACCTAGTTACTCTGCTGAGGTAAACAAGCTCAGAACACCCAATCTCAGAGTCACCTGACTGAAAGGATAGGGTGAGACAAATCACTTTACAGTCTTATTGGGGCACATACACACCCAAAACAAAGTCACCATGTCATTCAAACCACCAGACATCCCGCTGGATGAAGTGAGTCACTGTGACCTTTATTCTTTCATAGATTATATTATTAACAGGATCTAGTCTCACCTAGGAGACAGACCTCTCAGCATGTCTTCGAAGAAGTTTCTTATGTTGGTTGAGGTGAGTCAGCGCACCATACACATGGGCAGCATCATTCTAAGGGCTGGGCTCCAGTACTGAATAGAAAGTGTGCTAGGCACCAGTATTCTTTCCTCTCTGCTGCCCATCTGGACACTGACAACTGCTTCAGCTCAGCCCTTCCCAGCTGTGGTGGACTGAATCACCAAAACCTTGACCATGATAAACTTCTTTTGAGTTCTTTTTGGCAAGTATTTGGTCTCAGCAGCAAGAAAATGCAGAAGGCAGCAGAAAGCAGTCTTGTGTTGTTCCTTACCAAGAATTACAGTGCTGAGAAGTGACCAGAGCAAAAAAAAAAACATACCCACCTGTAACACCCCCAATAAAATACAGTGCTCACTGCTTATTGGCAAATATTGGAACTTGACACTTATGGGAAACAGACTGCACATTTCCTAATTTCAAAAATCCAAATCCGCTGGGCGGTGGTGGCGCATGCCTTTAGTCCCAGCCCTTGGAAGGCAGAGGCAGGTGGATTTCTGAGTTTGAGGCCAGCCTGGTCTACACAGAGAAATCCTGTCTCAAAACAAAACAAAACAAATCCAAATGATCCCAGATTTAAACTTTTCCTGACACTGTAAATGGAAACTTTTATACTTGATGCATTGAGTAAAAATGTAGGTGTACCAAGAAAAAAAAATAAGGTGGATATAGAAATATAAGGGATATGTTTAGACTTTGGTCCCATGCTTAAGATATATATTCATATATTCATGAATCTGAAAATATGCAAACTTATTTTTTTTTTTAATCTTACTGGGGATTGAACTGAGGGCCTTGCACATGCTAACCATGTGCTGTATCACTGCTGTGTACTCTAAGCACTCATGGTCCCAGTGCTGGGAGATGGGATGCTTAACCTGTGGCAAAAGGGTGAGCAGTAGGAGGTGGTAAAGCAATGAAAGCTGCGTGCTCGTGAGTGGGATTAGGACCCGGGTTTAAGTAGGCTTAAACCAGCTCTGTTGCACATGAGGCCCCATAACAGAGACTTAGGAAGAATGCTTCCCTACTTTGCTAAGCACCTTCATCTAGATCTCTTACCTGCATGTAATGCGTTTCTGTTGTCTGTATTAACCCATCATGAAAGTCTGAGTGTAACAGCCCAACACACTTCAGGGTCTTCGGCTTATAGCAGGCTCATCTTGAGCAGGAAAGACAAAAAGTTAGCACTGAAAAATCATATGCCATTCCAAATATGGTGACAAATGGTTGCATTCAAAATGGAAAAAGTCTCTGGCAATAAGTCACCAATCTTTAGTGTGTGCGTCCTAGCTGGGTATGGTGGTACACTGGGGTCGGGGGCAGAGATGGGAAAGAGTTTGAGGCCATCTTGTCTATATTATATAGTGAGTTCTGGGCACAATGTGATCCTGTCTCCAAACAAGCACCAACAAAAAGGTGGATTTTTATAGGCAAGGCAGCTTAGTAGTAGAGCACTGGCCTAGCATGCTCAAGGTTCTGAGTTCTAGATCTAGGACTACCAAAAACTTTTTTTTAAATTTGAAAGTGGTTAATATGCCAGGTCGTGGTAGTGCGGAGGCAGAAGCAGACATTTTTATTTTTATTGTCCAGTTCAGAGTTTTATTATTCAAAGAGCAAAAATTTGACAATGCATAGAATTGACATCTGTTGATAAGCCACTTGCTGGGCCAGCACCAAAGAGAAAAGTCTACCCACTAAAAGTTGTCAGAGGGTAAGACAGAGTGCAGCTTCAGCACCATGGGCAGTTCCCTGCTCTCCTGGGAGTCCATGCAGTAGGGAAGCCATACTTCTGAGGCTGGTGACACAGATATAAAGAACGGGCCCAGCAGTCGTTGACATCAAAGAACAGACAGTTTAGAAACCTTCGCAGAGACTTAACACAGTGGTCATTGAAGCTGAGATGTATAACGGGAGGCACGGTTGTTCACCGAGCATTCCAGTGCAGGCTTGATAGTGTGCTGCATACTCTTGTGAAGTCCTGTTTGAGGTAGATGGTGTCCCTCTGTTGTCTGTGGCCTGTGCCAGACCTTGGAAGTCAAAACATGCAATCCAAGCATGCTGCACTCTATTCTTGGTAGGTTTGGTGTTTTGTCCTCATTGCTTTTCCTTTTTATATTGAACTTTTATTTTATTCCTCTTCGTATTGAGGTTAGATGTGCATTTGGAATATATATATATATGATATGTTAATATATACATATATGACATATATATGTATATATACATATGCATATATATAATCAAAACTTTGGAGATGACCAAGAAAAAAATAAAAATACTTTTATAGTAGACCATGGCAGTCACAAGTCTGATATCTCACCAAGTGGAGTATGACATTACAGGCACTAGGAATACAATGGGTAATTTGGTCATCAGAGATTAATATTTTCCTAGGGGTGCTTTCTAATAACTGGCACTTGTTTAATATTTAACTATAAGCATTCTTATATAAGCAGGTGTCACAATGAAGCTGAAATGTTAGTGCCACACTTTGTTTTAGCTATCCATCACATATAAGTCATTCCGAGCTAGTTATTTGGTTGGGTGGTTTTAATTTATTCCTTCAAATGGTTGAAATGATTTTCTAATAATGTCCTCCTTTGAACAGATCCCAAAGATCAGTTTAGAATGAAAAGTACTTAGTAAACCATTCCTGATGTGGAGAGCCTTGCTTCTGTGGGGCTTCTTTGGGTTGGACTGGTTCTCCATCTTGGGCCCTTAAAAAAAGGAAATTTTTACATGGCTATGAAACTTATTCAGTAAAAAACAATACTGTAACATCTTTCCCGGAGAAGCTAAGTGGTATCAAAAGATACCAGATTGTGACCAGCTCTCTTGGCAGCTAGAAACCACTTGTGAAGGATGAGTAGGAGGAGTATCTAGTTCTTGTTTTAAACACCAAGGGCTCTTCTTTTACTGATCACTTATGGTTATGATACTGATGAGATGCATCTTGTAGCATTTGTTATCCATTTTAGGCACAAATCAGCTAAGTTAAAATAACACGATTTTCCAATGCAAGTCTTCTCTAGAATATTACTTGAGCATTTTAATGAGGCTATGAGATTTGCCTAATAGATCAAAAGAAAGGCAATGAAACTGTCACCAATTCACTCTGCATTTGTGAAGCTTCATATTAAATAACAGCCTGCCAAGCCTGAGGACCTGAGTTCAGTCCATGATCCACATGATAAAAGAAAGTTGTCCTCTGATCTTAACATATATTCAGTGACAGATGCTATGCCCCTAATAAGTAATGTAATTTTTTTTTTTGAGACAGGGTCTCACTTTGCTGCTCTTGACTGTTCTAGAATGTACTATGTAGACTGCTGGCCTAGAAATCTGCTGGGAGTAAAGGCGTGCACCACTGCATCTGACTCATAGATACTGAAACAAAATGAGCAACAACAAATGAATAGCTTGAA